TGTAACGTTGTGCGATTTTTATCGTGTTATATATAAATTTGAACATATTATATTATAATTATTATATATATTATATATTACATGTTATAATTATTATATATTATATATTACATGTTATATCATAATAATTATATATATTATATATATTATATATTACATATTATATTATAATAATTATATATATTATATATTACACATTATATTATAATCATTATATATATTATATAATATTACATATTATATTATAGTTATTATATATATTATATTATATAATGTAATATATAATATATACAATATACAGAATATAATATAAATTACGTAGTTTTTCCGTTCACTTTAATTTTTTATTTATCCTCAATCAAACCACACTCCAGATACGCATGCATTCCTATTTCGTGACTCTTTACTACATAATATTTAAAAATTCATGTCACCCAATTAAAAATCTTTCTCCACTCCATCTCTTCCACATCCGATCTATCCATTGCTCATTAGGATCCTGCTGTCATCACGTAATCACTAAAATGTGATCAGCTAAACTTTCAGTCGTTAATCCATTAAAGAGCGGAGTTTCGAACGACGGTGGCCATAAAATTGGCCCCTGACGATCCTCTTTATCGAATCTGTTTCCGCGTCAACTCTCTCTAAAAATCGATCGTCGAAATAAATCAAGAACGTTAACGAACATTCACGCCCGAATTGCTAAATTCAATCATCGATGTGTTTTGCGTTTAAGTGAAAGTTACCATTGTCCTACCAAAGTGTCCGTCGTTCGACGAGATTCTCATATCGTACGGATTAACGGTGAAAAACTTTCATCGCCTGTGCACAATGAAAACGCGAATCAACGATTCGCTCAGTCGTTCAGCTAATTTACAAGGCTTAATCGCACGCAATTAGGGATCATAATGAGGGACCCGGGGTCGCATGTAAACGCATACTCCCGCTTTATGAATCTTAACAGGAGCGAAAACAAGCTGCTTGACGCGCTCACGTGCGCGCGTGCACGCGACTCCTCTTTTGAGGAATTTGTATCATGTTGTATCATGCAGGTCTCTGTCCTCTTTAATTATCAGCCTACTCTGTTTAACTGTGGGCTGTATTCTGAATTAATACAGATTGTAATTTAGATCTGTTCTGGTTGCTGAAGATAGTTCGAATAGTGTGATGCGCGTTGTTTTTAATTCAATGCCACTTGTACTTTAATCTGAGAATTCATATTCGTAATAACACGAAACGAGTTTTGCTAGAAGATTCCGGAGATAATTTTTAAAGAAGAATATTTCAGGTGTTAATTGAAGAGAGCATAGAAATATTCACTAAGAAAGAGGACGTGCTGATATTTTCTTGACTCACTGCACATTTGTAATTTATTAATTTCCATTTTGACAAAATTTTACATTCCTATCTTTTCCTTTCTCAAGAAACTGTTGATGATATCTAGAACGATACGATCGATGATGATAGATTTTTATTTTTTCCGAAGTAAAACATGCAATCCTACAATCTGATACTTTTCCATTTGATTGCAGCTCTACGGTATTATTTTCCGTCACGAGATGAATCATTAAATGAAATACAATCAGCAATTAATATTCAACACATCGTATCGTGCAAACGTGGATAATCGTTACGCAAAACACACATCAATCGCCATTAATTGTTACTCGAGAGAGAAATAAGAGAATAAATTTTCTACCGTGAAAAACTACGAGGTTCGATCCGGTATTATTTTGTCGTTCAGAGAAGTTGCCTGGTAATGACGTATGAAACTGATTTAAATGTTTGCTTTACTTATCTCGGATAAACAGCAAGCTTGCATAATAAGTTTAATTAACGAGCGCGGGTTGAAGAACCGGCGAGTTAAGAAACGCGCAACACGCAATCGTCTACGCGATGTTTAGAGGGTCACTAATTGTAAGTGCTACTTGAACTTGCACCGTTCTCGGTTAATTGCATTCCGAGCATAGCTTTAACGACACGATCAGCCTTTCTCATCCCTGCTTTGCATAATTACGGCCGTGAATTTGCTTTTTTATTTATTTCAAAGATATTATGGCATGAATTCTAAATCCACGATAGGTGTACTAATTGTACAGGTCTCGTAGAGAATTCTGGAATTCATCATTTCGAAAGAAAATCAATTATACGAAACTGTTATACATTTACGTAATCGTAGAAAATCCGAATTTCTGCAAATGAAATAAAACCTAACTTCAATCTAACCAAGCTCTGCCTCGCCCACACTCGCTAATCTTTAATCGTCAGAAAATATTTCATTACTCTTGCTTCACTCTATTAAAACAACAAGACTACAAATTCATCTCGTTATAATAAATTCTCAGAAGACCCCATTAAACAAATCTCCCCAGAAATGCAAGTTTTTTTCCAGCAAAGAGAATTTGCAAAATACAAAGTATCTCTCTGCTAGAAAATTTCCATCGGATGAATATTTTATTTTAGATGAGCTGTCTATTGGAACGAAATCTAAATTGCTGGCAAAGAGAAAACGAGGGGACGAAGCCGAAGCGCGAAAGCCTGTTTCCACCGCGACACCAAGATGGCGTCGAGCCGCGCTCCTCCATTCTCCCAGCTTAATTCACAATACCACCCCGCTACGCTCCCTTTCGCGCTTCCCCTCTTCCTTTTTTGAACCATGTTACGCCCATGGAATACGTAACACCACGTATTCTCCGTGATATATGCACGTAATGCATCTGGATCGTCCAACAAGGCGCGCGCACACACACGCACACATACACACAAAAACAGAGAAGCAGACTCGAAAAGTCGCCACCCCTCGATCCGACTATTAGCATATCAAACCTCTCGTTACTGGAGCCTGTTACCGCTATTTCGAACGTCTCGCCTATTAAGGGAACGAACAAAGCAACACCGTGTTCCTCCGGATGCGTGAAAAACTGGCCGAAGACCCGGGAGATCCAGGCCAGATGTAGAGATACTTTGGGAATTATGGGGTGTGATGAGCGCTGATTTGCGAAACCAGCCTTGGAAACCGGTGTCAGATCGGTTTCGTGGCTATATGAAGAGTGTGCATGGTAGGTTGCAAGGTGAAGATTGATTTAAGTAGAGAGGTTATGCGGCGAGATAGGATCGAACGCGATCCTACGGTGGAAACGAACGCCGAAGATTTATGGGCCCTTGTTAGGGATAGTTTACGTCTCGAATTGCTCCGGCGGTGTTATAGATGAAGTTTTTGCAGAGGAGGTCTGAATTTCGGATGCCCGAGTGGATACTTAAGTGTGAAATCTTGCTTTCGATTAATTTGCCGTTGCGCCGGATTAATTAAGGAGGATCTTGAATTTTGAACGAGAATTGTGTTTTACAAGTTTCACAAGTTAGCGAATTAATGAAACTTTATTTGAGAAAATCTTCAACGAGCGAAAAAGAGATGTTTGCACTTTTTTTTTCCAAGTTTCAAATATTGGTCAAATTTTGCATAAACAATCCCTTGATTCTTTAATTAACACTACACGTACCAATCAAATGACCGGTTTTCGTTCATTTAACTCTCGTTTCATGATTTACATAGTTGTTTTTCTTATTTAAAAATTATCTTGTGCCTCTTGTATTAAATTCACAATTATCTGTATTCCTCCGATTTCATAAACGATTTGACTGACTGAAAGTGTCAATCGCCAATTTTGATGGAATTTGGTTTGAATGTATAACAGTTTTTAAAAAAATATTTGACACGTATTTTTTTGTCGATAATCTTCTATGCTGAAAGGGTGTGAAACTACCACCAAATTTATTTCGTCAAATATCTCGGAAATTACTGAAGACACAGTTTTTGTGCAAATTGATGAAATTATATGTTTTTTAACGACGAATTCAATGGTGTATACTATTTTGCAGAAAAAAAATTATATGTTTAAACAGTATGTTAAAAAACCCGTATCCTTTACAATTTTGTAATAATTTTCCTGGATATTTGTTTGTAAAAACTGTATATTCAAACATAAACTACGGATGATAAATTAGTTAGTACACTAGTCAAAGAACAATCTTAACAGATAATCGTTAAACAAGAACACTTCGTAGACAAATTGTTTCAGACAGCTACAACAGAAAATTATTCAACAAAATTTTCCCAGAATTACCGGATCGAATCAAACGTGAATGCTCAAGAACATTAATTATTACCGATCAAATAGGTCATAATCTAACGATCGTAAAGGGAATTCACAGTCACCAGTGACACTGCAAACGCTGCTTTAGATGCAGTGCGTGAGATAACCGTGGAATTTTGTCTACGCTCCCGATAATTGAATAGCCGTTCTCATTAAACAAGGTAATTTGATGCCGGTTGAACTGCTTCGCACCCTTGCATCCGACCGCGTTGTAATTATCGTTCTAATTGTTGGGTAATTAGCCACGACGCGTGATTCGACCGTAGCGGATCCTAACCGCCGACGTGATTTTTCATTTTCTTTCTTTTCTCTCTCTTTCTCTCTCGTTCCATTTCTACCCCGTTAGCTAATTGCCGATCAAACTTAATTGTGTGACATCCGATCTGATCGAGACCACGCTCCGTGAAATTGCACGAAATCCATCAAATTCGAATATTCCCCTCTACCCTTTATGGGACGATTCTCTCTCGTTTGTCTAACGAAGCTGAAGAGATTCGTAATGAGAGATACGCGCGATGAGCGATAACTTCCCTCCGTGGAAATTTAATTCGAATAAGCTGAGAATTAATGTTAACCCTCAGATAGTAATCACAAGTGATTTTTACATTGAATATTCTGAATATTCTCAATTGGATCGATAAAAAAATTGGGTCTCGAAAGAGTTAAGCAATTGATTGACAAACCCTACGAAATTCTAAAATTTGAAAACTGATTACAACGTGACTAGCTAAATGACAATCAACGCTTCGAATGATCATCAAATTGATATAGGATCGATACTGTCAGACGTTGGATAAAGATCGAGTTGTAAAGGGTTGATTCTATGGGGTAGGTGGAGGATGTTACCTGCGTTTCCGTCAACGAGAGCGCCTGCGCCAGCTGCTTCCTCTCCGCACCGACCACGTAGTGATTTTTCTCGAACGCGTGCTCCAGCTTGAGCAACTGGCTGGGACTGAAGGCCGTCCTTATTCTCTTCGGCTTCCTAAACGGTTGTAGAAGAAATCCTGGTATATCCGGCCCTGAAACACACGCAAGAAACTCGCGAATTAGCCAATTAGCCAGTGTCGCGATTTTCCTTTAACTTTCCTTCAAGTGGAAATTTGCACCAAATTTGAGTTAATTCGAGTCATGTGACATTTCTCCCTTCTCGATTTTTATCTTTATTGGAAACAAATTTGACAGGCTACGTGTAATGCAAAGGGGATACCGACAGATATTTTAGAATTTAGAACGGTGGAGAAATTTGATTCAAAGAGAATTTCGATTTCTTAATTTGTAGCCTCGATTGCAAATTAGGTACACTGATGCAAATTTAAACGAAAGTACCACAATGAATCGTTATTAAATGTTCAGTACGTTTATTAAGACGATATGTAATGAAGAGAAATCGGTAAAACGAATTGTCAGAAATGAATTCTACACTTAAGTGGATGCCTACAATAAATTGGAAGGTATTCGGTAATCTTACTAAATTAAATGCCCTTCTATAATAGTTCACATTTGTAACTTTATTTTCTCTATACAGCGTCGACCAAAAAATTTAGTTAGCGAAGCATTCACATATAGCTTCGATTTGAAACTCTGAACGTAATCGATAAATTATCCAAACGTAATTAAAAACGAATCAAAAACATAACGAGCAAGAAAACACCTCCCCGATTGGCAATAAACAAACACGTCGCACACGAATGATTTATTAGGCGGCAATTAATTTTTAAACGACGTCGTCATCGACGCAAACGACACGCACGCGAGGCCGGCCCGCTCGTGAAAAGTCAGCGAGAGCGACGAGCGCGAGAGGAGAGAAAGAAAACGAAAAGGAAGGGAGAAAGAGAAGGGGAAAGAAAAGAAGAAAAAAAAATGAACACGAACTGCACGAGCCGCTGGCTACCTAGAAGTCCGCTCGGGTAATTGAGTATTCTACCTCGAAAGAGTCATGTCGATCGACCGATACCCACGTCTGCCGGAAGTCGGCCGGGGATACTTTGCCCGGAAAGCTTCAACGATAAATCGCTCGATTCTCTCGACTAGCGACTCGCGGCTATCCCGGGCTACCTTCCGACCTCGATCGAATTCGATTCTATTCCCTCTTACCCTTTCCTTTCTTTCCTTTTTTTTTTTTTTTTTTTTTTCGTTTCATCAGCTTCCACTCTTATGTAGGATCATGTAGGCGTGATTTAATATCGTCGTACGGTTCCATTATAATTTCGCGACCTCAACTTCAACCCTTTTACGGCAGTTCGAACATTTTCATTACAGCCTCATTTCATTCTATTCGTCGCTATTATTATTATTATTATTATTATTATTATTCGTCGCTATTATTTTATTTATATTTCTACATTTTTACGTTTCCTTTTCGATTCGTCGGTCTTCATTCTCGATTTTATAGACGTGACTTTGATTTTAATTCTTCTGCAGTTTCAAGATTTTTAGTACATTTTAGTATATTACTTATTTTATTTTGTTCGTTGCGTTTTTATCTTATTTTATTTATTACATCTTTATGTTTTACGGCAGAACATTTTCATTATAGCCTTATTTCATTCCATTCGTCGTGTTTATTATTTTACTTACATTTCTACATTTTTACGTTTCCTTTTCGATTCGTCGGTCTTCATTCTCGATTTTATAGACGTGACTTTGATTTTAATTCTTCTGCAGTTTCAAAGTTTTTAGTGTATTCTTATTTTATTTTGTTCGTTGCGATTTTATCTTATTTTATTTATTACATCTTTATGTTTCACTTCCTTTCCAATTCATCCAGGTTTCGTTCTGGATTTTACACACGTGATTAATATCGTCGTATACGGTTCGATCACAATTACTTCTAATCCCTTTTGTTTGAAAATTATTATTAAGAACTACCGATAAATAAAATTTATTATCAAAGAAGTATCTACTACCAATAATATATTTCTGTAGAATTAAAAAATATCTCAAGTTCAAACAAAAATGTGAAAAAATTCTCATTAGTAGTCACGACTTTCTGATTAACCTTCGTATTAAACATTTCCTTCGAATATTATAAACCCTTCTCGTTCGCAAATTTGAGTGCGAGATTTGAAAAATTCGACGATCGTAATCCGGTTAAAAGAAAAATCACTCAGCTCTGTAAGAAACACTTCGTGGCAAATTAAACAAAATTTCTATCCGTCTAATTGATTGCTTCGACCCTTATTATACTCTGGCACAATTCGATACTACCTTATACGTAACGGCTGCGGCAAACTGCGACGAATCAAACCTTCGTGCATAATAAATAAACATTGGCGCCATAAAGTGAATAAAGAAACAAGTCGATAAAAATGGACAAACTTTTCAAAGTAACCCCGAGAAGCTATCAAACGACTAACCAATCATCGTTTGATAAAGTGAATAAAGAAACAAGTCGATAATAATGGACAAACTTTTCAAAGTAACCCCGAGAAGCTATCAAACGACTAACCAATCATCGTTTGATCGCGCAGCTAGCATTGTTTCGCAGACGGCCAAGGCGAAAGATGTATCAAGGATGCACCGTTCAAACGAGAGCCAACCGATCGCGAGAGCACGTGAAAAACGCGTCTTACTTAAGCCAGCGCGGCGCGTGCATACGTGATGTGGCCATTAAAGCGGATTCTCTTCTTGTCTCGACCTTCTCGATCGTGAAACGTGCAACGTGCGTGCGACTTAAAGACCCAGTTAACATTTCATGCGTTTGCATGGCAATGTAACTCTCCCCGTCCGATCGATCGACAGCCCGTGAACTGAATCAGCTTTAGCTGACTTTTTATTTCTCTTATGAATAGCGCTCGAACACGTGTCGCAATTACCGCAATCGATTATTCCGATCGATCACTGAAATCGACGAACGACTTTCTCGTTTACCAGGCTCTAACCGTTGTTTCGTCAACTTATATCGATGTTCTTTTTCTCCTTCTTCTTCACTTCCTTTCTTCTTCACCTCTTCGAGGATGGGAGGTTGATTTTGGGGAGCGTACTTTGGACAATTTTTTATGTAAACGAAGATGATGAAACGGAATTTTTTCTTGGATTTATTTGCGGAATTGATATTTTTCTTTTTGGCACGGTTAAGCTACTGTTACATATATTTGTTGCTTAGTATATATATATATTTATATTACAATTATAAATATAAGGTAATAATAAATATAAATATAACTATAAATATAAGGTAATAATAATGATATATGAATAGGTACTGAGACTCAAGTGTTCAAAATTATGCTAGTATTTTTGCAAATGATATTTTGATTGAAAGCAAAATAATTTGAAAACAATGAGGAATAAATTAAAAAGAATATAAAAGAACAATAATTTAAAAATAACGATTGGAAAGAAAATTCCACAAATATTATACTTCATTGTTTTCATTTACTTGAAAACTGTTCGTCGATTTTACTCCAAATTTCAATTTCCTTCCCTCAAGAAATAAAAAAAAAAGAGGGAAAGAAAATCAACAACAACTTGCAAAACTTAGAATATGAAACATTAAAACATATCTTCCCCTTTTCCTTTCGGAACTACAATTAGAACTACAATTAGAATGAAATTCGCAAATATCGCAATACTTGAACTGTAAACAAATTTTTCAAGTTTAAAGTCTACCATTGGCAATAAATAACACTAGTAAAACAGAGTAAAATAAAACTGAAATAAAATTAAGAAAAATCGAATGTCAAAGTTGAATGTTTCTCAATTACATTCGAGTTCTCTGAAATTCTATTTAGACATTCGCCGCAGCTTGATATTTTTTCCTCCGTGAAATTACAGTATTCGATAATTTTTTTTTTTTTCTTTTCAAAGTTTCAGAGAATCGCAACGAACGATGAAAAATGTTCTCGGTATACTTAAAGCTGCTATTACCAGCTCGTTAATTATTCGCTCGGTAAGAAGCTATACACAACCGGGCATGAACGATCACGAAGGCCCCCGTCGCATTAAACGCGCCGATTAATGCGAAATCCACACGAGTCGCTGTTCGGTAATCTTTTAATAATTGCGGTTATTATTTGATAACATCTTGACGGATCATTAACGTGACTGTTGTGTGAAAAGTTGTTTCACAGATGAATAGAAGTTTAATGTCTTCGTCGTGATTCTAATTTCCAGAAACGTCACTCCTTACCGATGTGAACGGGCGTTTATCCCAATCGTACGATGATCGATCGACGATCAATTCGAAGACGAAAGAAAAACAGATCGATCTTGATATTAATTAATTATTTTCTGAATCTCAAAACCGTCCCGATCATACCACATTTACTTATAAATTATTATATTGTAATATCCATTTATATTATCATAATTATCTATTATGTTATAATATTTTATAATATCTATAATCTGTCAAATCATTTCCGAATTTTGAACATGTTTTTCGTTTCTCGAAAAAGAGGCTAGATTAAGCAGAGAATTTCAATAGAGGCAGTGTGTTTCAATTTTATACTGTTTTCGGAAATTTATGTGAAATCAGTAAAAAATTAATTTATCAATTTGGAATTAGAGTTTGGTATTCGAGTCGTGACGCAAAAGAACAATCATAAATACAATGATAATCGATATTATGCATTTCAATAATGCATTTTCTCTTTGCATTTCAATAATGCATTTTCTCTTTGCATTTCAATAATGTATTTTCTCTTTGTATTTCAAAACTGCTGATGAAGCTGATGACTTGGCCAAAACGATTTACTTTATTCTTCGTGGTAGTGAAACGATACCATCGCGTGAAAAGTGATATTGTAGATACATCTCGAACTGAATCTTATGTATAAGAATTTATCTGTCGATAACCACAAAAATTCGAGATACAGGAGAATTATCGAGTCGAAATGACCGAAAATTACAAAATCAAAAATTTATCTAGAAATTAAACGTATTCGAAAACATTTTAACGTAACGTAAGAAAATTCAATCGCTAAACCTATTTTTCCATATGTTTCGAACAAGTGCAACAATATTTCATATTGAATAAGAATAAATATTGAATAATAATTATATCGAATAGATATTG